GTACTAAATTTAAACAAAATCTGTTGCAGTGTATCTGAGGTATAAATGGCCAAATAACAAAGCAATATATTGTGCATCAGTAAACCACCATGAGCACTACCACTGGAGCAGTTGGCTCAAATGGATCTGTCTCCCACTGCACCAATCATGAAACCACCCCAGGCATACTTGTAGAAGCACAGGGTTATAACAAATAGTGGTTGTCATTTTTGTTGGATACTCAGCTAAAAAAAATCTTTGCTTGCTGCAGATTGCTGGAGAGCCTCCAATTGTGGAACAGTGCAGTAGTCATGGAGAGTACCCTGCAGTTTTGTGTCTGTATTGAACTTTTCTACCAGACGAAAGAAGCAGGTGACAAGCTTCCGTTCTTGCTGCACCAGAGCAACATCTTCTCAACCAATTGGCTTAGCACTGGGGACTTCATTCTCCCTGGTTTGTGATATAGGCCACAACCATTATTTTATCACAGCGGACTAGAACTTGCTAGTTCTGAGCATCACTCAGGATGTTGACTAGCACCCTCTTGAGGGCTAACATGATGTCATGATGTTAATGTGGAGTCTCTTTCAAGTCCTTGAGGTTGGCTCCCCATCCTACTTTCATGGGTGCCATTACCAGAGTTAACTGCCACCACTGTACTAATTCTTTAGTTTGTTATTTCCTGATAAGCAAATTTAATTGCAACTTGTGTAATCTTTAAACCCTGCAGTAACACCGAGAAAACAATTTTAAATACAGTTCCATCAACAGAATACAGTCTTGTTTTTTATACAAGTCTCCACCCTCACTACAGATGTCATTGTCGATAATAGAATGGCCTGCATCCCATCTATATGTCAATTCTAATTTGCACGAGCTGAGCTGAAGGGAGATTTCATGCTTAAAGATCAATTTACTACCTTTAAACACTCTACTGGTGCTTCTAAAGACTTGGTCAATGCTGTCCATATGAGTGGATCAGTGGCGGGATATGTATGGTTGCCAGTGTAATATTCTGACCAATTCAGTTTTTCACCCCCCCCCCCAGGCTGATCCTCAATCGCATTTGATCATGAAGCCCAATATCAAAACTTTGTTGTCTCTTTGAATCTTGTATTGATGTTAGACAGTTGATATTCATTATGTTATATCAGGATAACAGATTACTAGTCAGCCCCCTTTAATCATTATTCTATTTTTGGTCTCATTTGTTGGCATGAAGCATCCCTTGACATTCTGATTAGTAATATCTTTTTGAGCACTTGGTTATACACTGGGAGTGAGATTAACCAATCTCTTGCTAGGTTGACCAACTTCACTATTTATAGACCAGACAATCAATAACTCTGAACTTCTCAAACAGGTACCAGAAACTTAATTTGCATTAGTGTTGGCCATTTTTAAAGTTATTCAACAGTAGGATGAAACAAAAGTGTCTCTGAGAAGCTTTCCAGACTTGACAATATTCATGTGGCCTACTGCCAATGTTCTGAACGCTTCAGATGATGGTCACCTGTAACATTTCTGACAAGCCAGTCAGGCAAATTTGCTGTTATTTAGTGTAAAAATGGCTGCCTGCTACAAAATGGTGCCATGTTCATCAAATCCAAACTTTCAGTTTCACAATGATGATTTAATGTTACAGTAGTCAAATTCCCATTGTATATATATATAAAAAAGAACACCTCATTTAAAACATACATTGTACATGTAGTAAATGACATAAACCTTGCCTTTGATCTGGTTCAGAAAATGTCAAAAGTACTGAATTTACCAGTAGTGATTGTAAAACTAAAATGGTCAAATAAAATTATTGTATGTGGACATGCATGTCATGCCCTGGACAAACTGAGAC